CTCATGTAGAAACAAACACTCATAAAAGCACAGCATTTATAGGTCACTTGATCGTGAAAGCGTATTCCCACTCACAACAGAGCAGAGTCAGCGCGAGGGTTACACTTTGGAGCCCTAAATCCTGCAGAACAAAATCGAACTCAAAGAGTAATGTCTCAAGGATTCAGCTGAGAAGCAAAAAGATATCCTCGACCGAAAACACAAAGAGCTATTTATCACGGGGGAATGAAATATATTTGTTGCATTTTCAAGTAAACATGCACTGTAGAGAGTTGGAGCTTCATATCCTCCACTCTCACTCTATTGAAAGAATGTTTTAGTTTTTTTTTTTTTAGAAAATGCATTTATTCATGCCCAAAAACGACAGACAGAGACAGGGTAGCATATCGATATTCACATGAGTCAGATTGACAGAGAATACATGCCAGCGTTGATGAGCTGCTCAAGTGAAATCATAGCTAAACTGAACTAAGGTTGACCTTTAGAAGATAAATGCAAATGTGCACTTAAAGAAACAAACAAAGAAAAAGCTAATTTGTCAAAAAGCTGATAAATATTTAAAACGTTTCTGCTAGAAATCTAGGTTAATTTTGATAAAATTGGTTTAGTGTAATGATAAAAATTTAGAAAAAATTAAATAAAAATACATCCCAGAAGTTGCACTGAGACAGGACAACAGATGTGATCAAATTAAATCTGATCTTAGGACACCAGGAGAAGTCCAAGCCAGCACATTTTGTAGGCCTTCTGAGTGTGTGCTGTGGAGCAGCAGGAAGGGGAACAAAAATCAATGAATCCTGCAGAAAGTGTGCGTGAGAAACGCTCCGATGGATTTCCTTTAAGCTACTGCTTTTAGACTTCACTGCGCTCCCTCGCACACCAGATTCAGGTACATAGACACGCAGGTAAGTATGCACAGTGTGTTCAAAGTGTGCAGACTGATATGCATTCCCAATAGAAATGGCACATGCACACGTACTGCACCTAAAGTGCAAGCTCCGTTAAAATGAACAGTTTAATGAATGTCACAAAACTGCTGCGGGACATAAAATCTGTGATGTACTAGCAATAGGTCTGCCTGTGGACAGCTCTATGCAGGTTTTATTGTTTCTTATTGCCGTTTTAGGATTGTTGGGTCAGTCTGAAGGTGCCAATTGAGCACAGTTAAGAACCATAAAATAAAATGCATTTTGGCATCTGGATAATGCTCCAGTAATCACATGAAAAAGTTTATTAAACATATATAAAGAACAATGTATGTTTGAAGAGGCGCTATTTTCTGCTTTGTAGATACATCTTTCCAACATCAAATAAAATACAGTTACAGTCTCGCATGAAAACTGAAGCAACAGTAGAAGCAGTAATGTGATTTGACAAAAGCAGTGTTGTTCTACAGGATTCCTGTTTCTCATGAAGCTACAGCCAAAAAAGTGATGTTTGTATCGAGATTTTTGGCAGATCGAAACAAAATAGTACATTATAGTGAAGGAGAAGAAAAAAGTATTTAGTGGCACTGAGATTCTTTTGGAGCATTTCTACAGCAACTTTGAGATTTAGATTTTGAGTCAAGTCAGTTAAATGTTCAGGTTTGTCATTTCTTGCAGGGTGAACCTTCAATATTGGTCTGTAGCCTCTGAAAGGATTTCTTAGGTTTGTTCTACATTTAATTTCATCCATAGACTTTGACCAGCTTACTGTATCTGTTTAAAAAAAAAAACATCCCCAAAGCATAATGCTGCTACCACCATGCTTAACAGTTCATGTGTTTAAAGTGATTGAGTTAGTTTTCTTCTCCACACTGCATTCATCATGGCTAAAACAGTCTGTGTGTGTTAATTTCATTTGAGCAGATCGCCTTATTTGTAGACTGACTTATCACACAAAAGCTCAATGAAACACTTTGAAGTTTGATACTGTAACTGTAAAGTTAGATCCTGAAACACATATATAGACATATAAAGAGAATCTAAATCATTTTTACGACATGACCTTTACTAATGTACAAGTGGATTTACAATAAACCTCCAGGACAAATAAAGATCCCTTTAAAATGACCTATGATATGGAAGCATGTAGTGCTCCATCCTCCCAACCTTGATTTATTAACTGCGCATATCTTCATTCTATATGCAAGAGTAACCGAAAGCATAACATGCTGTGTTACATAAGAAGCTGTCCTTGCAAAATTTTTCCCATCTGTATCTGGATGCATATGAGCAGAAGCATGCTGTATATGTGTCACACACACAGTGTTTGACAGTGAGTCATCTCGTGTAAGACATCACATCGCCTGCTGCCGCTTTGTCACGGCCTCATTGCATCACATTGTCAAAAAACAAAACAAACAACAAAAAAAACACTTGAGCAATGCTTTCCAGTGTGCACCATTATTACAGTAAGATATTTTATCTGGGAAAACCTTCAAATGCAGATGAGTTGTTTGTGAGCTTAAACCAAAATAAGCTGCTAATAAAGCTATGAAAATCTTCAGAAATTTAAAAAAAGTGTTTCGATTGCTTTTCCCCACCTTGTGTTGATAATAATGGATGTATTATTAGATTAACGTTACAAGTGACTGTGACACAGAATGTTTCCTTTCATGCTGGAGTGGTTTTTCGTTAGTCTCTACACCATTACAGGTTATGCTTTTCAAGACTGGAAATACTTCCACACAGCTAATTTGTCAAATGTCAGAGAGAGCGGTGCATAGCAGTAGTTTGAGGAGGGACAGTATACTTTGATAGACGTAGCTGACAAATTTAAGTTAATCTGCTTAATCCATCAACCAGTCAGTTGATATACAAAGTAAAGCAGTTATTACTGTCTTAAAGGTTTTTTATATACAACTCCTAATTTTCTCGTATTGAAAGCTGCAGAAGCCCTGATGATGGAAGTAAGTCAGAATGAAAAAATAACATTTTAGTGGACATGAGAGGTCAAGTAGGAGGAAAGTAACCAGGAGCCTTCAGAAATGTGGAGCACCGCTGACTCAGTCATGAATGCAGCAAACTGCTGCAAAGCAACTCTAAACTGAAACAAATCAGATAAAATTTTACTCCAGTCAACTTTGTAGAGTCTCTTCTTCTCTCTCAATCCTGTTGTGGTTATGAGTCGGGTGAAGTCAGTTTTTAATCAGCCATTTCACAGAATCACTTTCGTTATTTTATACACGTCATGATGTTCCACATAAAAATAGTTTGATCTTACTTTTAATTTCAGTAATAACTGTGTGCCATAAAAAAAACATAAAAAAATTCCTGAGCTACTCATTTATTTTTTGCCATGTAATTAAAAAAATGGCCTCTTATGTCACACACAACTTCAAGTTTTGTGCTTATCCTACAATAATTTTTTTTTTTATATAATCCCCTTTGGATAAGTTCACTGAATCAATTTTGCCACTGCGTCCAACTGCACCTGCTTCAGCCTGGGAAGAACTGGGACTACAGTTTAATTACAAGCCGGCAGTAAATTTAGTTCAGACAGAAATGGGCATTACTGCATACAGTGTGAGGTTTATGCGAACCAAGTTCCCACAGTGTGTTTGTATCAGCCAGGCGCTCATGGCTGAGCTTTATTATATTTTTTAGCTATAAATTAGACCCCTGATACAAAATGCTTTTTAAGAGAAACACACAGAATGAGCAGCTATGTGAGCACTAATGGACCCTTAAACTTGCACTGTTTAAATTCAACTACTATTTGATTTGTTTCAGTTTTAGTTTTGTTCTTCAGCAAAAAAAAAAAAAGTGGCTGGCTTAATTGTGTGCGTATCACACACAGTTCTGTGCATGTCTGCACAGCCTACACAACAAACATTAACCCCGAAAAAAAAACAAGAGCAAACAAGGAAAAATGGACTGAGAGGGGGGAAAAAAACAACAGATCATTACAGAGAAATATAAAAAGGGGAGATGAACAGAGATCATACACTAAGCCCACAATTAGGGGAGTGTCCGTCTATTCAAATCCACATATATGCACAGCTAATTACATGCTCCATGAAAAGGAAACAAACAGCGCATACTCAATAAAACACAGAGCGAGAGATGAAGCCTGGTGGAGATATAATGAAGCAGACAAACACTGACAGGAAACCTGCAAATAAAGCTGGCTGGAACCATGGACGCATAAAGGTTGAAAAAAAAAAAAAGGCATGTTCCTTCAGTTTAATGAACAACATTTACAGTCTGAATGAACAATGAATGAAAGACTATCTTATGATGTGCCTGGACACTTTTAATCAAGATATGTCTTTAAGAAAAACAGATAGGAATCTAAGTTTTTGAAAACACGAGTCTTAAGTCTCAACCATCATAATGAGCTTACAGAGTTGTTCACATGTCCCAGACTTCTCATTATTAGTGTCTTTATGTCTCCCATCACTGCAACCCCTCTGCATCTACAGACAGATTTATGTTGCTTCTGAATCACTGACAGGAAGAGCTCTTTCATTACTGCAAGAAACAGGTTTGACATGAAGCTCTACCTTCAAAGCACTGATAATAAGGACATTTCATGACAATGGTTGAACCAGGGTTTAAATCAGTCACTTCCTGCTGTCCAAATGAGACGGCTGGTTTGGTTGACTTTTTTTTTTTTACAGTGACCTTCAGCCGGTTCACTGGTCTAGGTTTCATTTTTAAAGCTTAAGTCACATCTAAAACGAGCCTTTAGCTGCCCTTAGTGATGTGACACCTTGAGATCTACCTCCAAATGCAAAGATTAGGACAGTAGAGACAAGACATAGGAAGATAATACATCTGCCCAATTTTCTGCCGCCACTTGGATTGCATAATGTGAGAAAAAGAGAAACAGAGGGAGAACACATCCATCTTAGTCAAATTAAAGAATGAGTTGAGAGTTTCATATTCACTGTGTGATTGAATGCCTGTGTGCAGATCTCCTTCCCATCCACAAGCATCTCACTTCATCCCTTTTCACTCATCACTCCCTGTAAAGCTGACTCACCAAACTTACTGCTCTCAACCCGCTCATGATCTTTTACATCATTATCCACTTTTAATTCATCACGGCTTTTTCAACGGGAATACTCTCATGGTCTCACCTGTTGTTGTGTTAATGAACTTATGTGACTGGATGAGTTTGTTAGATCTGTAAACAGAAGCAAACACAACACAAAATGTTGACTTTTTTATTATTATTACAAATTAAACATTCAAAGGAGAAAGAACTAGCTGGTTGGTTTTGGAGGATCAGTCTAAGACTTGTTGTAGGAAAGATGTAAACTATGATTTTTATTAAAAAGAGTTGCAATATTCCTCCCACACAAAGATAACAACCTAGTGACTGCTGTATGTGTGCCAGAAGATTTAAACATAAATGGAAAAGTCAGATTGCAAAAGCATTATAATGACATAATCCATATCCTCAGAGACTGCAGCTTATTAAATGTAATAAATCACCTTGTTCATGTAAGGTCTGTGAATTTATGTATTTAGCTGATGATGAAGATGAGTCAATTTAGTTTTAACCTATGTGAAACACAGGTTCGAACTATTTCATGCTAAGGGTGAACAGGCAAAACATTGAACAAAGCTCCCACTCTGCAAAGTCTGCTGTCATAAAATGCTTCCACCAACTAAAACAGCAGATGATGTTCCTGCAGCTTCAGCAGTCATTTATATCTCCAAGGAGGCAGAAGTCAATTACAGCGCACCTCCTTCATATAGATACAAAAACAAACTCAGCCAATTTTCTCCAGGACTATTGCTCAAGCAGTCAAATAATTATTCATTAATAAGACGATGGTAATGTTCATTGTTTATTGCCATTGAGTTTTTCTGGTATGTAATGCGCACAATGTATATTTAATGTTGCTCATTAAAAAGGGATTCCAGGTTAAATGTTTGCCAGACAGCACTTCGTTATCAGAAAACGCGCTCATCTCTTAGCAACAGAATAACAACAAATATTGTTATTGTTCAAAAAACATAAGATTTCTTCTGCTCTTTTGAAATACTACTTATCTTACACTATGTACTATTTAACAAGAATTGTGCATTTGTTCAATCTGGCAGAAAAGTTAATATGTTTTTAAGTTTTTTGTCATTGGGATAAATACATTATAAAACAGACATTGAACGCAAAAGTAAAAATCTGATTTACACTTCGTGGCAGTTCGTTACCAGAAAAAAAAACATGATCATCTCTTAATACCAAATTTATAAGTAATATTATTGTTCATAAAACATAAGCTCTTTTGAAATACTGCTTATCTGCTTAGACACAAGAAATTTACAGTTGGTAAATTTTGAAAAGTAAAAACCAGATGTTTACTTTGTGGCACTTGGTTACCAGAAAACATGCTCATCTCTTAGCAACACATTAACAAAGAATATTGTTATTGTTCAAAAAACATAAGATTTCTTCTGCTCCTTTGGAATACTACTTTCTATTTATCAAAAATTGATCATTTGGTGAATTTGGCAGAAAAGTTAAAATGCTTTTCATTTTTTTGGCATTGGTGTTAATTATATTATAAAACAGACATTCAACACAAAAGTAAAAATCTGATTTATACCTCGTGGCAGTTCCTTACCAGAAAAAAAAAAAAACACACGCTCATCCCTTATCATCAAATTAGTCACAAGTAATACCATAAAATTTCTTAAGGAATTTAAATGGGGCCTGCCAAAGTGTGACCCAAATCACGTGTTTCTGTGCTAAGCTGTACTCACTGCTATGAGGAGAATTACAACCATGTTGACTAACATGGACTTATTCCACTCAGTATGTTACAGAGTGACAGCTTCTTCAATCAAGACGGAGGTTCGGATGTCTTTTTCTGAACATTTCTGTTCAGTTATTATTGAGGAGAAAAATCGGCAACAGCTGATAATGTAAACAGCTGTTCGTTACCTAGCAACCAAAATCAACAGAAGCAAGACAGTGACACCAGATCCTGTTGAGCATTCTTCAAAATAAAAGACTTTCTCTATCCAAATAAATCATGCCTCACACTTAAATATGTTCCACTTCAGCTTTTGTATATATACAATCATGTTAAATTCAATTAATAATCATCATGTAAATTATGCTTAACATATAATTGTAAATCAGTCAATTATCATGCAAATTATACTTAACAACAAATGAGTCTAAAGAAGTCACAACACAGTATACTAAAATTAGTGCATAAGCTAAATTTAGCCAAAATGCTATCAGTGGCACGTTGGGCATCACTAGCAAGTTGTCTTGCTTTGACTTGGTCCATTCAGTGTACCAAATATGGTTATCAATAAAACAATAGCTAAAATGGTTGTTATAGGGAAAAGTGGGTGGAGCCAAGAGAGACAGAAATTTCAAGATTCTGCTAGTTACACTTTAAGAAAGAGAATCAAATTGTTAGTAATAAATTAGTTAGAAAACGAGTAAGACATTATCCAAGACAAACAAAATTGTTTGACAATCTAGAACTAAATAAATAGTTAAGAATGCATTTTTTTTTTGCCTTTATATATTTGGTACGCTTCTTAAAGTTACATTCTATATATGAAGTATTAGTGTGTCAAAACATTGTCCTGTGCATTTTGCAAATCATCAAAAAGCTAAAACATGGTGAAATGTGTTCATACCAACATAGCTGCTTTTTACATCTGAGTGCACTTCACTCAAATATAAAAAGTTTGGGTTTCAGCACTTCATACGGAAAACAGTGAAGAATGAACTGCACTGAGCTAAGCAGGCGTTGCACTGCGACATCTATATAGCGCACATAGCACGTCAAAGCTCCAGGCAAAGAAAAAAAGGAACTACAGGAAAGAGCAGGCTGGCAGAGGAATGGAAAACAGGGGAGGAGAGGGAAAGACTGTCTACAGGCAAAAGGAAGGCAAAGTCAGATTGAAAAGAAACATCTGCATTCAAATTAGTTAGATTTTCAGCAATCCAGCATTTGGAGGTAGATTATATTCTCTAGCTTCCAATCGTAAATGAAAAACTACTGTTGGCACAAAAGCAACACATATGATCTGTTAAAGAATGTTAGGAAACGAGGTTAGAGCGAAGACATCAGCAGCTACAGCTTACTTTAATCAACAAACTATTAATTGTTTCAGAGAGCGAAGGAACTCACGCCGATTTAAATTCCACAGTAAAGATCTTTGAACAATAGCAGCATGGAAGAACATTATGCTTTCCATTATTAACTTTTACACAACACTGCAGGAAGAAAGCATAATCATAACCTTGTCCTTCAAAAAGTGTTTTAAGTACTTTCATAAATGCACATTTCATAGACTGCAATGCAGCTGAGAGAAGACAACTGTTCACAGAGCAGTAGGAAATTTATGCCATGTCAGCTTCTTAACTTTGAATGAAAGACGTGTAGAAACTTTCTTGACTTTGCCCAAGTAATAAAAGAAATACGACCAAGTCCAATATTATTCATACCTCTTGCAAATTTATTTTTAAAGTTTATTTGAAGCATTTACCAAAGATAACCAAACAGCTTCAACAAATATGGAAAAAAAAAATTCTCTTAAAAATAATAAAAGTTACAGAAATGCTGAGAACTCTGGATGTCGCATGTCTGACTCCAAATTGCTGACCTCTCCACTGAATATACTGTGAGGTCATGTTCTGAAACTGAAGAGGCACACAAGTATTGCATCAGCAGCAGCAGATACATTATGTACTCTCTGCAGTTTCCATGTGAAAATTGTCCCAGATTTTACTCTGTCTGAATGGTTCTCCCTTTGTGAGAAAAAACCAATCCATTCATTTTTTTGATTGTTTTATTGTTGACTTAAAATTATACCAGAGGGTTAGAGTAGCTGATCAAAGAGGCTAATATAACCAGCAACCTCAGTACACATAAGTTTGCACATCAGGTTTGACCTGGTATAGTCCATTGAAATCAATTAATAATGTATTTGACTGGACTGGAGGGAAATGTGTGGGTTTAAATAAGTTCATGTGACTTGAATGAAGTTCAAATGTGACCAACTTCATATTTCAACTTTTAGATCTTGAGTTGGTTCTCGTCTCAACCCATAAAGGCTGCAAAAAAGTATTTGTTCTCCACTCCTCGTCTGCTCCTTACATTTTCTGAGCAAAGATGACGACAGAGCTAATTTTTAAAACCACCATGTGAACAGTAACATTTCTAAAACGCCACTCAGTGAGTGTTTCTTTTGACATTTTCCAATCCAGCATACTTTCATGACAGATCAAGGTTTGTAGCTAAAGAGGATAAAACAGAGCAACTTTGCTGAAGTTGCTCTTCAATCTTGAGGCCCAAATAAACATCAAATCTGTCTCAACATGTTGCAGAAAATACAGTTTTAACTTGCATCTCTGTACTTCCTTTGACTTTTGTCTGGTTCCCTCAATAACAAAATCCACTATATAACACTCACCTAAAATAGATAACATTTTAAAATGTCCAATAAGTCACCAATCAGAGCCTATAGATTTGTACATTAGCAGATTTCTTAGTGCTTTTTGTATTTTTACAAAATACTTCTACTTTATAAGACCCCACCTGAACAAACTCTATGCCATCTCTTTAATGTACCAAGTATGCAAAGTTTCAAAGAGAAACAAATTGCTGCAAACAAGTGAGGTCAAAGGATGCCACTCTTTGAGGTATTAATATTTTCTTCTGCAATAAGTAAAGTTTGCTCTTATAATAATTGTGAGAAATTGCAGTGCAGAGACTTTATTTAAAAACATGCATTTCTCTGTGTGGGTCTGAAAGGAACCCTGGGACTTTTATTTTAATTAAAAAGAATATTAGGCGCATTAAAACTCACATTTTCAGGACATGAAAGTAACCTAAATAAATACGTCTTTGAGGAGGAGGAGGACTGCTGGGTGGCTCCAAGTGACTCATAATGCACCTATTTTCAGTGGGGCCTTTGTAAATTTTAAAGTGCTTGCTGAAATGTCGGCAGTCGTTTTTGTGCATCGAGTTTTATTAATACGGGAGGCAAGTTTTCACCGTTTGATTTATTGCTGCACAAAGCGGCGATTTAACACAAATAGGCTGCTAAGATTTCAAAGTATCTGGCTCTAACATAAAACCTCCAGCTTCTCAAACAACGGGGTTAAGCAACAGCTGATTTTGGTTAGTCCAGGGAAAGTCTAAAGAGATGTGAACATGCAGAAACAGACTTCAGATGGTTCATTCTTGTAAGAATGCAACATAAAATGGGACGCTTACATCACTTTACTCCTGTAATATTTAGCTGAAATCAAAATGCAGATTCCGAGTCTGACTCCAAGTGAATCTTAATTTTCTTTAAGAAGCAGTATTTTCTTTTCTGGTTAGTTCATCTTATTTGGCTGGAATCAATCAAACCAGCGAGCTTAAAGTAGCAAATCAAAAATAGATCCTTCTAAAGACTCATTAGAGATGCGCTTGTTTGTACTAATAACTGAGAACCCAGTAATGAAGGACTAATTACTGACTACAGAAAGCTTTGGGGAGTCTCTAATGTTTCCTGGGAGGACAGGATTTTCGTCTTTGAATCAAAGAACTACTGTTTAAAAGGTTCCGCCCCTTAATACCCATCATTAGTAATAACATGGTTACAATGACCTTTCTTTCACATCAATACATCTCCCTTCTCGCTCATTCGCCTTGCTCCTCGTTAACATCTCCATCGGTAACATCAGTCTTCACTCCCATTGCTCTTCTTCCACACCTAAAAACAGTCTGACAAACCATTCTGGCACTTCCTCGAGCTTGAGAGCAAAATGTGAGTTCGGTGAATGGGATTACTAAAATTAGAGGTGTCTAGTGCGCTGTTACAAGAAAAAAAAAAGAAGAAAAAATCAGAACAAGAATCAAAAGGAATGTCAGCTCCAGCTGAGTCAGATGTCTTCTCTGTGAAGTGAAGAGATGTTTCATAACACAAAATGTTTTATCTTTGTTCAAGTTTTAGCTGCTAGCCAACTAAAATTAAAAAAAAAAAAAGCAATTGCTAGCGGCAATTACAGGTTCCCAATCGATTTTAAAGATTCTGACGCTAAAATTCAGAAAAATATCAGTGCTTTGAGATACAGTTTGTATATGAATTATCGTTAATTTTTCAATTTGTCCTGCTGTTTCACTGTGAATTATTAAATCGAGATAAATTCTACTCTCCAAAAAAACTAAACTTTCACACACACATGCCTTTGATGACATTACATAAGGCATAAAGGAAGTCAAAGTCTTTAATTAAATGTCTCCTTCAAAGATGTTTCCCTGTATCAAAATGCCTGAGCTGTACGTGAGCGCACGTTTTATTTCAGGAAAGTTTGACAAGTTTAAAGCTCGTGTGAGCGATGTGAGAGGAAGACGAAGGCAGACAGGAAGAGCCGGATGTCATAATCAATCAGATCTTAAGTTATTATTTTGAGCTGAGATGGTATGAAATCCAAACAGTCCAACACAATGTTCTGCATCATGCACTACTCCTGCCAAGAACTACGCCGATCTGTGAACGCACATGCAGGAGATCCTTTACCACTGCCGTTATCGTTGTTCACAACAGAGGAAAGGAGTGAGAAAAACCATCAATGCTTGATGCCAGAAAGGTTTCTGTGGGTAAGTTAGAGTATTGGTGTGGAGCAGCATGCAGTGCCACCGTTCTGGCAAATCAGTTTGCTTTTAAAGATGCATAATAGAGAATTTAATGTCAGGATTTGTGGGTGATTGTGGTGAGGATGAACGCTGAGACCCAGATAATGGTGACGATGATGAATTTAATGAAGCTCAAAACAGTCCAGATCAGGCAGCACACAGCTAATTACCGGTAGCAACTGAAAAGGCAGTGGACTGAAAACGAGAGCTGAACCAACACAGGACTTTACAGTTGGACTGTGGTGGCAAGCAGACGAATGACATAGGACAACAGGTGGGACTAACTACACAGGGAGGGTAATCAAGGAATGAGACACACCTGGGAAGCAATCAACGGGGAAGACGCAGAAAC